AGGCTCTGTGGGTGGCAGCGAACACCCAGCACATGCCTGGAGGCGGACGTGTGCGGCCACGGGGCTGCCTGCAGCCTGGGCAAGGCTCACGGTGCCGTAACAGGGGCTTAGGGGCTCCCTACCGGGCACCGTGTCTGGAGCCCTGGGGCCACCGTGTCATATTGTTGTAGCAGAAAACACACCTCCCTATTACCACAGGGACAACATTCAAATATTGACATTATACTTATAATGGCTGCTCAAGGAGGGCTGAACGGCCACTCCGTTCCTTCGTGATGACATTCAGCGGGCCCCAGTGGGAGCCGACGGTGACGCCCAGGGAGGACAGGAGGCCTGTCACCGCCTGGGGTCTGTGCTCTCATCGAGGAAACCGAGGGGAGAAGGGAGCCTGGGTCCGCCTCCTGGCTGCGCGAGGCCGGCCAGGTGGACGGGGCCTGGGGAGTGGCCGTGGCTGGGAAAGGGCTGGAAGGGGTCCTTGCAACTCCCAGAGCCGTCGGCACCGCTGAGCCCGATTTATAGAGAGAAACCCATGCGAGTGCATGCAGTTCCCGCGCAGAGCGACTGAGTGACAGTGAGAGCGGTCGATCGGGTGTGTCTTCTACGCTGCGCCTGCGTGTCCAGGCCTCCTGCACTGAACGCTACTCTGGGTGGTTTACTTGACTAAGAGGACAGAACAGTGCCTCGGGAGGCGGCTGTGTTCCGTGTACCCCTGTGGGCAGCGGAGAGGCGGGCCGGGTGTTGGCAAAGGCGGCAGACGGGCCCGACACGAACTGCGCCGCCTTCTTACCTGATGAGTCGTTGAGGCGGGTCATCTGTTGTGGGTGGTGTCTCCTCAAACAGATTTTGAAATTCCCGAAAATTCAGCGTGACGCTGAGCCTCAAGCCCAGGAGGGCCACGAGGCGCTCGAACTGGTCGTCTCTGAGGTTGAAGAGCAGGTGCTCCAGCAGCCTGTGCAGGTCCTGCATGCTGACGATGCCGTCCCTGTTGGTGTCCATGCGGAAGAAGGCCGCGAACAGGTTCTGCAACAGAGCGCCGTCAGAGCCCTCCCAGCCCCGCGGCGGCCCAGGAACGCCCGTGCCCCCATCATCCCCAAGTGAGGCCCCATATAAACCTGTGCCCCCATCATCCCCAAGTGAGGCCCCATATAAACCTGTGCCCCCATCATCCCCAAGTGAGGCCCCATATAGCCCGTGCCCCCATCATCCCAAAGTGAGGCCCCATATAGCCCGTGCCTCCATCATCCCTAAGTGAGGCCCCATATAGCCCGTGCCCCCATCATCCCAAAGTGAGGCCCCATATAGCCCGTGCCCCATCATCATCCCCAAGTGAGGCCCCATATAAGCCTGTGCCCACCATCATCCCTAAGTGAGGCCTGGACAGCCCATGTACC